TCACCTGCAAGCTGTGCTCCTACAACAGGAGGCCCAACGCCAACCGCACGGCGTGCCAGCCCATCCCCATCATTAAGCTGGAGTGGCACTCGGCCTGGGCAGTGATTCCGGTCTTCCTGGCAATGCTCGGCATCATCGCCACCATCTTCGTCATGGCGACGTTCATTCGGCACAACGACACGCCGATCGTCCGAGCGTCCGGCCGCGAGCTGAGCTACGTGCTCCTGACCGGCATCTTTCTGTGCTACATCATCACGTTCCTCATGATCGCCAAGCCGGACGTCGGCGTGTGCTCGTTCAGGAGGATTTTCCTGGGTCTGGGTATGTGCATCAGCTACGCCGCCCTCCTCACCAAAACCAACCGCATCTACCGAATCTTCGAGCAGGGCAAGAAGTCGGTGACGGCGCCCCGGCTGATCAGCCCCACCTCACAGCTGGCCGTCACCTCCAGCCTCATCTCGGTCCAGCTGTTGGGGGTCTTCATCTGGTTCGTGGTGGATCCGCCCAACACCGTCATAGACTACGACGAGCAGAAGACCTTCAACCCGTACCTCGCCCGAGGGGTGTTGAAATGTGACATCACGGATCTCCAGATCATCTGCTCGTTGGGTTACAGCATCTTATTGATGGTGACGTGTACTGTTTACGCTATAAAGACCCGCGGGGTGCCGGAGAATTTTAACGAGGCCAAGCCCATCGGGTTCACCATGTACACCACCTGCATCGTGTGGTTGGCTTTTATACCCATCTTCTTTGGCACGGCGCAGTCTGCAGAAAAGGTAGGAACCAGTGGAGGGTGAACGAGCTGCATGGTTGATGGCAGGATGGTTTCAGTATTCTACTTCCAGACAACACAACTCTAGCCCCTTTCTGTTGTGTGTCTTTGTAATTGATTCACATTCTCAATACAGATAAAAAGATTGTATTTGTGAAGAGTTTAGTTTTACCTTGTTCACGCTTTACTTAGTTTATATACTTATTTTTGTCCTTAATATAACACAGTTGTTTTTTGCCTGCAACGAGTAAAGAGTCGCATTCGCTGGGTCTCCAAACGCTTTATACAGTGAAAGGCTTCATACCTGCGTATATTCTCTCATGGTGAATAAGTCGGTTAAATGTGAAACCACATTTTCAATGTGATACCTGTAAAAAAAGAAAATCTGCAGGGATGCATCAAGTCAAAATAGAAAAATAACTTTTTCTTACTTAAAGTGTTCTTACTTAATATATATATAAGATATTTAAATATATATATATCTATATATATATATATAGATATATTAAGTATATATAATCTGACATCCCTGCTTCCCTCAGTTTAAAAACAGGAGGATCAAGCCCTCACCCCTTCACGTTGTAATTAATAATCACCAACAAGTCAAATTTTAGCAGAAATCCATGTGAGGCGGAGGATTACTGCATGGTTGATGATGGGTGACGTTCACTGTGGTGCCCGATTCCATCAGCCTGAAGGCTTCCAGACGAGCCCGATCTGCCACCACCAAACAATCTCATCCTCATCTGAGCCGAGAGCCGAAGGCTTTGTCATGAGACCCAATGATCCACACGTTGCAGTGACATGACACAGATGTGTTCTTGTGTATGAACCCAGTTGGAATGAATTGGTTGGTGAAATAATGCACATAGCGAGAGCAACGTTACTCTTATCGTCTCGTTTGTTGCGACCTCGGTCTTCTTTCCCCTCATTGGCTCCTCTGTCCCGATGAAGAACAACAGATGCAATTCTCACGCAAATGACCAATAAAACCCCAGATTTAATGAAAAGGCGCATTCTGCCGTATATTTTGTTAAAACGGTATGAACACTGATTGTTTGAGCAATCACAAACTAGTTTTTGTCCCCACTGATGTGTTTCACATCTGTTTGGTGTTTACGTATACTAAGAAACGTTCATCATCATCTTTGTAGTTTATTTCATCAGGAAGGAAGTATAAATACTGTGCGTCATTGCATGTGTGTATTCATTACATTTGACTGATGCTTTTTTTATTGCAATGTTTTCAAATATTTAGACACATTTCATATTCAAAACGCGCCACAGTTTTAAAAATGTTGCCATTTTCATTTTAATTTGAACCAAGATGTTTGATTTGTTTACAGCATCCGATGAGCTCAGGGTTTTCTTCATAGTGGACTGAAGGTTGTATATTTACTCCTCCAGGGTCTGCTGGCTTCAGGAGGCCGTTATGTGCAGTGAGGATTCGGCCAGTTTGAGACTCTGGAGGGTTGAGATAAGAGAGGGAAGGTTTGAGGTTCTCATGCTAGAGACGCTGTCGTGAGTTCAGCTGTTCATTCAGCTTTTGTTCATCGCTACAAACCCTCAGAGATCAGAGCAGCTGAAACTATTTTCTTTGGCGGGTGTCTGGACTCGGCTTCAGGGTTAATGGGTTCAGACATCCAGGAGGAGCTCGTAGCATCTCGCTCGCTGAGTCCTGCTGCTCCTTCTCATTTAAAGGAATCAATGAGGTATTCAAGCTTCTGATCTGATGCCTCGGTAACGGCTCCCGTTGATGATGATTATTAAGTATAAATATCTATATTCTGAGTGAAAAACATTGAATCACTAAACACACATTGACAGTGTGAGTTCATGAATCCCCCTCAAATACATATAGAAACAACTCCATCTTTACAGACTGGATGATAAATAAAAAAATGATGAATACATTTACAAAGCACGTGAAGGGATGATTTTCTTTTATTTGGGGTCATACACGTCTTCACTGAATGGGAGTGAAGTCTTCATACAATCAACAATATGCATCATGTTATCGACTCAATGAACTGCAATAAGATGACAGGTAAATCAGTGAAAGAAGGAGCCTGTAAATGAACAGTTTATAACCCACAGACCAAAGGCCATGAATGGAAACTCAAAAGCGACATTGACTTATCTGTTGGACTACCTACCTAAAAGATATGAGTCATAAACCTGCTAATAGACAGTAAATATGATTCTAAGAATACGCAGGACGAGGAAGAAGATTTCGTTCAAGATGAGAGTCACACGCATTTAAGAGCACAGTGACCAACAACGCTCAACACAAAACCAGTCAGACAAACACGTGATAAAGATCTAATCATCTGTAGATTCAAAAAACACAGAAAGACAGGATGAACATTTTAAAGAAGTCAAAAAACAATGTTTTATGTTCAAAATAAAGAATCCTTACTGCTGTTTTATCACACTGATCTTCAGAGGTGAGATCTTCACTTCATTCACTGTGTTAATGAATGGAAACATCCTCT